GCTCTTCACTTATTCAATATATATTTATTGAAGGCTTGCAATTTGCCAGGTGGAAGCTGGTTTTGCAAGGCTCAGGAGTAACCCAGGAGGCATAGAATCTCATCTACATATGCCTGATACTATACTAAAGCTGAGACCCTTAGATCACATGCCATCTGGGGTTTTATACCTGGGGGAAGCTTGACTCACTTGGCTGAAGAGTTGTAGGACTTCCTGTCTAGGAGGAACAAGAATAGCCTTGGTGACCTGACTTTTTCCCTCTTTCTTGCTAAGTTCTCAGAGTTAACTGTAGAAAGTGCTGGAAATGTAACATCCTGAGATAAGCCTAGATTCCATTCTTGTTCCTCCTAGACAGGAAGTCCTGCAACTAACACAAATACATGGAACTAAATCTAAAACCCTTCTTCTGTCATCCCTAATACCAATCCCAGTAGTTATTACTTTTCTTTTACATACTTACATCACCTATAGAACATATGTACTTATTATTATGTATATTATTTTACAATTTTTTTCTTTTTTAATTTTACACTATGTCTTGCTGTATGTATGGATCTACTTTATTCCTTTTATTTGCTATAAGGTATTCCTTAGTTTGTTAATTACATAGTTTATTTAGCCTTTCTCTATGTATGAATGCTTAGGGTGTTTACAGTTTTTAGTATTACAAGTAATGTTGCAATAAATATCTTTGTGCATGCCCCCTTGAGAGATGAATCAATGTTTCTCAAGAGGAAAGGAAAAGTGGACTTGGTAGGCATGTGACTTCAGAGTAGCATTTCCATTTTACACTTTAGTCAGCAATATATGGAAGCCCCCAGTTTACCTCAAGCCCCTTAACACTTGCTGTTATTAGATTACATTTTTTTTCAGTCTGATGGGTAAGAAATGATATCTTAATTATGAGTAAGTTTAAACATCTTTGGATGTATTTATTAACCATTTTACATTTCTTCTATGTCCATGCCCTTTTGTTGGGATTTCTTTGGGGTTTAATTGTCTTTTTCTTATTAATTTACAGGAATTCTTTTAATATACTTGATTAATCTCTTCTGTTGTACATGTTATAAATTTTTTTATATTTCATCGTTCTGATCCTGGTTTTGTTGCTTTTATTTGGGGGAACAATTGAGAATTCACTATCTCCTTTTATTGTGTTATCATGAAATGCTACTTAAAGGGTGTATGAGCTCTGTGATTTTTGGGGATCCTCATTTTATTTCTACCAGATATTATTCTCAGCTGTAAAGTGAGAATACACTATCTTTTAGAGTTACTGTGAAATGCCAATGAAAGAGCATATGAATATGTTTCAGAGAATAAAAAATAACTTAGTATGTTAGGTATTTTTTTATCATGACTCACTTCTAGAAGCTGGCTTTTGTGAAGCCTTTTACACTTCCACAAATTGATCAATTCCTCAGGGGTAGGTGTCACAGCATGGTGCTTGTCTCTTTATTCTGTACTTTTTTGGGGAAAGAAAATAGTACATAAACAAGATATGTTCACATCGAACTGTGTTGTTGGAATGCATTGGTGGATGAAGGTGCAGTATGGATATCAGGAAAGTCCTACTTCTTCTCTAGTCATAATGCTTGCCTCAAGATTGATACTCATACTCGGATGCCACCTTCAGACCTAGATAGACCCATGTTCTGTGTTCCATGCTTTTGAAGTCCCCTCCTTTGACTATACCCATCACCTTCCTGTTACCTGAGTACCCAGGATCCAAAAATTATCCGATAAAATGTCCTGAGCCTGCTCTGTGGTCCTATGGAGACTCAGTTCCTGAGTTCCTCTGCTTGCAGATGGACCAAAGGCATTGAACCCCACCCCTGGTATATATGTATCCCTAGGTTTCAGGTGTGGCTAAAGGGACTGTTTGAGAGGTGTCTTCTCAGAGCTTGGACAGTAAGTAGCTTGAACACCTGTGTACAAGGCTCCTTGGGGTACAGGAAGGGACTGGAGAATGGAAGAAAGCAGGGGTTTGGGTGGGGAGGATTTGGACCAGCATCCTCCATACCAGCTCTGCAGCTGTCAGGGTCAGGTCTGCCCAGAAGAGCCCTTCTCTTTTGACCAGCTGGTGTGTGTGTGTGTGTGTGTGTGTGTGTGTGTGTGTGTGTGTGTATGTTTGTTTTAAGCCATTGGGGAAGGTTTTCTTCACCACTCATTTAGAGGCTGAGTATAGCATTCTCAACATAGAGCCCAATTAATCTTTGAGGATAATTCTCAGAGAGTCAGCTGGGGAGGCCAATGGGTGAATTTCCTGATTGGAGGCTCTCTTCAGGTGCCGCMGCCTGTCCCTAGGCGAAGGCAAGCTGCCTGTGCTTTGTGTAAAGGAGGAAGGATTCTGCTGACACTGTGCATTTTTATGAAAGAAGGTGAAGGGCTCCCTTATCTTTCTGTACAAGGCACATCTGCCTGCAAACAGACTGTCTGCTTCTTAGGAATTCCTTCCATAGTTCTGTTTTGCTGAAAGGTTCAAGGCCCAGTTTGCTACATTCCTTTCTGTTTTTAGAGCCATGGGGAAAGTCATAACACATTAGGCTTTTGCTGAAGAGCTTAAAATGGGTGCTGGCAGCTGGGATGGGGTGAAAGAGAGCTTTCCAGGGACAAATGACCTGCTTGTTCAACCAATGAGAAGCAGAGTAGAGGAATGATATCACTAGACAGGCTTTATTGTCTGATCATCTGGTAAAAGCAGGATTGTCTGACAACTTAACCCTTTTTTAGGTACTTTAGATCTCTCTCACTCCCTCATATGTGACCTCTAGATTCCTTTTCCCAGCTGTCTTTTTCTGAGACCATAGAGATTGAAGATTGTTTATAACTCCCCTAATTTCTACAATCATTTTAAAAAGTAGCAATTAGTACAGTGTAGAACCATAGCTAGCATAGAAATGTGATCTGTTCAGAAAGCATATCTAAAGCAGATATTGGTCATAGTCATGTTACATTTGACTTTTGCTTTCATATGTAGACTTGGGAGAAGGAGTAGATTGGGAGGGGAAAGATTTAACATTTAATGTATTTTAATTCTTTCAGTGGTTCTTACTAAGTATTTCCTGTTTTGGAGCAACTGAAATTAGTTCTATATATCTCCTCACTGATCTAGAGGCCAATTTTGAGTAAGAGATAGTTGTAGTGTTTGTTTATTATCATCCCTTCCCCTATAAAAATGACAATAAATCTTTTTTTTTTTTTTTTTTTTTTTTTTTTTTTTTTTTTTTGTGGTACACCAGATCAAACCAAAGGCCTTGCACAAACTAGGCAAGTGTTTCTAACTCTCAGTTACATATCCAGCCCACCTTCCCCCTAACCCTTTTTTCAGTGGTGTTGGGGATTAAGCTCAGGAGCATTTGCCACTGAGCTACATCCTCAGCCCTTTTCATTTTTTTCTTTTAAGACAGGCTCTTGCTAAATTGGCAAGCTTGAGTTTGGGATCCTCCTGCTTCAGCCTCCTGAGTAGCTGGGATTACAGATGTGTGTCACCACACCTGACTCTTCTTAACTTCTTTATGCCTTCATTCCTTCACTGGTAAAATGAATGGTCATACCCTGTGCAACAGAATTGTTGAGATAAGAAAATAAAGTAGTTCTTAAAATTGCAGATAACGACACACGTGTGTACACATGTTATCATTAATGCACATTCATGTCTTAAGGTTAAGTTTGTTCATTTGTGCAGCAGGCTTTTTACAATGCCTTCTTATGCTGGGCACAGGAGACACAGAGATATAAAAGATGTAGTTCTTACCTTTAAAGAACTTTTAAAACAAGAGAGAGAGTAATAATAAAACTATCTCATACTCCTATTGTGTTTACCCTGTGCTAGGCCCTGTTCTGTGAATCTTGATATATTAACTATTTAATCTTACTACATACCTATGAAATAGGTACTACTATAGAGAGTTCCAATTTATAGGTAAAGAAATACAGACACAAGGAAGCTAAGTGATGTGCCTAAGATCACACAGCTAGTTGAGATTTGAATCTGGCAATATGGTTGTACAATCTGAACTCTAAGTTTGGGTTGACCAACATGATAGTCACTAGCCTTGTGTGGCTTTGGAGTACTTGAAATGTGGCCCAAATTGAATTGGGCTATAGGTATGAAAAAACAAAAGGTTTCAAAGATTTAGTGTGGAAAAAAATGTAATATATTGAAATTAAATAGTGCAAATGATAATATTTTAGACATACTGAGTTACATTAAATACATTAAAATTACTTTCACTTTTTTATTGTAGCCACAAGAAAATTTAAATTATATACAGGCTTACYTGTGAGGGTTCTTGTTACATTTCTGTTGGACTATACTGCTATAAATCGTTGCACTGTAATAACAACAGGTGACATTTGGAGCATTTACTATGTGCCACATACTGTGCAAACACTGTTTCAATTAAACCTAATAATGACCTATTTATTTTCTCCAGTTTTTTAGAAGATTTTGAGAAATTCAGTAATTTTCTTTGGTTAGTCATCGATAGACCTCAGATTTGAAACTCTATTTGTCTGTCTCAAAAACCTTGTACTCTTAACCAGCACGTTGTAATTCTGTTTTCTGTTAAATCTTGGATGTTTTTCATCACTTTTATTTTTATAAGAATATTTAATATTGCATAGTTCTGTCACTGATACATATAAGTTTAAAATAAAAATCAGTAGGCCATAAGATGCAAATTTCTTTTGCAGGGCTTTGGCCTTCAGTGAACACCAGCACAGTTGAGTCTGAGATGAAGCAGTGAGTCAGCCTGTACAAATTGCATTTAATTTTCATTCCAGTAGTTCTTTCAGGTCACTGGCCAATTTATGTCCTAACCCTCTTTGTCTGTAGAGAAGGGGAAGGGGTCAGTGCAATGCAGGTCTCCCTAAGTTGTTCAGTTCTCTTGGATGATAAGAAGAAAAAATTGCTTTCCATTTCATTGTCCTCTGAAATTCTGTTTAAGAGAAAAACAAAATGCTCTCTAGTGACCCTTGACTTTTCTTTCTTCTAGAGCAAAGACTCAGGAGGACTGAAGGCAGCCATGATAGAATTGGTGGAAAGGTTAAAGTTCAAGAGCTCAGATCCTAAAGTAAGTATTGTTTTAAAATTGATTGGATGTTGGTACCCCAAGCATTTTATTCTCCTTGAGCTACGTTTGAGGAMTGTTGATGATCATCTCTGTGAACATTACATTAAGGTCTAATTAAAGCCAGGCATGGTGGCACACGCCTATAATCCTAGGGAGGATGAGGCAGGAGGATTGTGAGTTCAAAGCCAGCCTCAGCAAAGGTGAGGTGCTAAGCAACTCAATGAGACCCTGTCTCTAAATAGAATACAAAATAGAGCTGGGGATGTGGCTCAGTGGTCTAGTGCCCTTGAGTTCATTTCCCGTTATCTTCCCCCACCAAAAAAAAAGATCTAATTAAGCCTACCCATCAAAATCAGTATTCTGATATTCTTGTAGATATGTCATGTTTTCCCTCTTATTTTATGACTTAACAGTACATAATCATTAATTATAACTGTAGAGAAGTACATTTTTAATATTTGTTTACTTGACTTTTGAGATTTCTATCCCCTGTGCATATAAATCCAACTGAAGGCATTTGAGATACTGATCAGCATAATGCTTGGGACTGGAACAGGATACAGGACCCATCCAGTTGGTGTTCAATACTAAAGTCTTTTTTCTCCCYCATGTACTGAAGCCAGCTGCCACTGAATATCCTTTTGTTCTCATGACCTTGAGGTTTAAGTGTCTAGTTTTTTTTTGGGGGGGGGGCGGGGTGTTGGGGGGTAGAGGGTTGATATTCTAGGGTTTGCCATACCCAGGTGGAGGTGGAGTGGGAACAGAATATGCTGCAGGGATTATAACTAACTCAGATTCCTTTCTCCTTCCTTCTGAGACACTTAATGTGGTCCTGCCTGGTATTAGGACCAGCTGGGCTCTGCCTGAGACTCAAAGCCTTTCACAATAAAACAGGGAAAGGATCTTAGTTTATTTTATTTTTCCTGTCTCCTTCACCCTATCCCTGAATTCCTTATAAAGGGAATGGGTCTAGCATTTCTTGAGGACCTACTGAGAGTGGGCTAGGTACCTTACATTATTATTGTAAAATATTCATAACAAAATTTTTTTATTTGTTTTAATTAGTTTTACATGACAGTAGAATGCATTTATGCATTTTGATATGTCATACATAGATGGGATATAATTTCTCATTTTTCTGAGTGTACATGTTGCAGAATCATATTGGTCAGGTAGTCACATATATACATAAAGTAATAATGTCTGTTTCATTCTACTGTCTTTCCTATCCTCACATCCCCTCCCCTCCCATCACTTCCCTCTACCTAATCTAAAGTAAAACTGTTCTTCCCTAGCCCCCACCTTATTGTGAATTAGCATCCACATGTTAGAGAAAGCATTTGGCCTTTGGTTTTGTGAGATTGGCTTATTTTGCTTAGCATGATGTTCTCTAACTCCATCCATTTACTGGCAAATGCCATAATTTGACTCTTCTTTAAAACTGGATAATATTCCATTAAGTGTATATACCACATTTTCTTTATCCATTCATCTATTGAGGGATACCTAGGTTGGATCCATAGTTTAGCTGTTGTGAATTGAGCTGCTATAAACATTGACGTGGCAGCTGCTATAAACAGTGACGTGGCTGCATTACTGTAGTTTGCTGATTTTAAGTCCTTTGAGTATAAAAGGACTTGAAATGGTGGTTCTGTTCCAAACTTTCTGAGGAATCTCCACATTGCTTTCTGTCCCACCAGCAATGTATGAGTGTACCTTTTTCACCACATCCTTGCCAACATTTATTGTTGCCTGTATTCTTGATGATTGCCATTCTGATGGTAGAGAGATGAAATCTTAGAGTAGTTTTGATTTGCATTTCTCTAATAGCTAGTGATACTGGACATTTTTTCATATATTTGTTGATCACTTGTATTTCTTCTTTGAAGTGTCTGTTGAGTTCCTTAGCCCATTTATTGATTGGGTTATTTGGTTTTTTGGTGTTAGGTTTTTTGAGGTATTTATATATCCTAGAGATTAATGCTTTATCAGAGGTGCATGTAGTGAAGATTTTCTCCCAATCTGTCCTCACATTATCAATTGTTTCCTTTGCTGAGAAGAAGCTTTTTAATTTGAATCCATCCATTTATTGATTCTTGATTTTATTTCTTGAGCGTTGGGAGTCTTGTTAAGGGAGTCAGATGTTAGGCTTACGTGAAAATTTGGGTCTATTTTTTCTTCTATTAGGCGCAGGGTCTCTGTTCTAGTGCCTAAGTCTTTGATCCACTTTGAGTTGATTTTTGTGCAGGGTGAGATATAGAGGTTTAATTTCATTCTGCTACATACGAATTTCTAGTTTTTGCCAGCACCATTTTTTGAAGACACTATCTTTTCTCCAGTGAATGTTTTTGGCACCCTTGTCTAATATGAGATAGATAACCATATTCATGTGGGTTTGTCTCTGTGTCCTCTATTATGTACCATTGGTCTACAAGTCTATTTTGGTGCCAATACCATGCTGTTTTTGTTACTATTGCTCTGTAGTATAGTTTAAGGTCTGGTATTGTGATGCCTCCTGCTTTACTTTTCTTGCTAAGGATGGTTTTAGCTATTCTGGGTCTCTTATTTTTTTGAATAAATTTCATGATTGCCTTTTCTATTTCTATGAAGAATGTCATTGGGATTTTAGTAGGAATTGCATTAAATCTGTGTAATGCTTTTGGTAGTATGACCATTTTGACAATATTAATTCTGCCTATTCAGGAGCATGGAGATCTTTCCATCTTCTCAAGTTTTCTTCAAATTCTTTCTTTAGTGTTCTGTAGTTTTCATTGTAGAGGTCTTTCACCTCTTTTGTTAGAATGATTCTCAGGGTTTTTTGTTTGTTTGTTTGTTTGTTTGTTTGTTTAATCCTAATTTCTCTTTCAGTGGATTCATTGCTGATGTATAGGAATGTGTTTGATTTATGGGTGTTGATTTTATATCCTGCTACTTTGCTGAATTTATTTATTCTAGAAATTTTCTGGTGGAATTTTTTGATCTTCTAGATACAGAATCATGTCATCAGCAAATAGTGATAGTTTGAGTTCTCCTTTACTTATTTGTATCCCTTTAATTTCTTTCTTTTGTCTAATTGTTCTGGCTGGAGTTTCAAGAATGATGTTGAATAGAAGTGGTGAAAGAAATCAACCTTGTCTTGTTCCAGTTTTTAGCGGGAATGCTTTCAGTTTTTCTTCCATTTAGAATGATGCTGGCCTTGGGTTTAGCATATATAGCTTTTACAATGTTGTGGTGTATTCCTACTATCCCTAGTTTTTCTAGTGTTTTTACTGTATTTTGTCAAATCCTTTTTCTACATCTATTGAGATGATCATATGATTCTTATTTTTAAGTCTATTAATATGATGAATTACATTTATTGATTTCTGTATGTTGAACCAGTCATGTACCACTTGATTGTGGTGCACTATCTTTTTAATATGATTTGTATGCAATTTGCCAGAATTTTATTGAGAGTTTTTGCATCTATGTTTATCAGGGATATTGGTCTGAAGTTTTCTTTCCTTGATGTGTCTTTGTCTGATTTTGGTATCAGAGTCATATTAACCTCATAAAATGAGTTTGGAATGGTTCCCTCCTTTTCTATTTCATGGAATACTTTTGAGGAGTATTGTTTTTAATTCTTTTGAAAGTCTGGTAGAACTCGGCTGAGAATCCATCTGGTCCTGGGCTTTTCTCGGTTGGTAGGCTTTTGATGGCGTTTTCTATTTCACTGCTTGAAATTGATCTGTTTAAATCATGTATGACCTCATTCATTTTGGGTAGGTCATATGTCTAGAAATTTGTTGATTTCTCTGATATTTTCTATTTTATTAGAGTATAACTTTTCACACAGTTTCTAATTATCTTCTGCATTTCAGACTTGTCCCTTGTGATATTTCCTTCTTTATCTTGTATTTTAGTAATTTGAGTTTTCTTTCTTTTTCTCTTCATTAACATGGCCAGGGGGTTATCTATTTTATTTATTTTTTCAAAGAACCAACTTTTTGTTTTGTCAATACTTTCAGTTTTTCCTTTTGTTTTGATTTGATTTCAGTTCTGGTTTTGATTATTTCCTGTCTATTACTGCTTTTGGTGTTGATTTATTTTTCTTTTTCTAGGTCTTTGAGATGTAGTGTTAGGTCATTACTTGTTGACTTTTTATTCTTTTTTTAAAATATTTTTTTAGTTGTAGTTGGACACAATATCTTTATTTATTTTTATGTGGTGCTGAGGATCAAACYCAGTGCCTCACCTATGTGAGGCTGGCGCTCTACCAATGAGCTACACCCTAGCCCAGACTTTTTTATTCTCCTAATGAATGCACTCAATACAATAAACGTTCCTCTTAGTACTGTCTTCATAGTGTCCAGAGATTTTGATATGTTGTATCAGTGTTCTTATTTACCTCTAAGAATTTTTAAAATTTCATCCATGATTTCTTCTGCTATTTATTCATCATTCAATTGTGCATTATTTAGTCTCTATTTGTTACAGTAGCTTTGATTTTTAATTTCATCATTGGTTTCTAATTTCATTTCATTGTGGTCTGACAAAATGCAGGGTATTATCTCTGGGTTTTTTTTTTGTATTTACCAGAAGTTGCTTTGTGGAATAATATATGGTCTATTTTAGAGAAGGAGTCATGTGCTGCTAAGAAGAAAGTATATTTTCTCATTGATGGATGAAATATTCTATATATGTCTGTTAAGTCTAAATTATTGATTGTATTATTTAGTTCTATTGTTTTCTTATTTAATTTTTGTTTGGAAGATCTGTCTAGTAATGAGAGAGGTGTGTTAAAATCACCCAGTATTATTGTATTGGGTCTGTTTGACTCTTGAAATTGAGAAGGGTTTGTTTGATGTACATAGGTGCTCCATTGTTTGGGGCATAAATATTTATAATTGCATATATATATACCTCCTTTAAGAAGTATGAAATGTCCTTCTTTGTCTCTTCTGATTTGATTTGAAGTCTATTTTATCTGAGGTGAGAATAGAAACCCCTGCTTGTTTACA